TGGAAGACTTGGTAGGTGTTGCTGCTAATATGCATGTTTGAAGAGAACATGTTTGCTACTGTGTATGTTTGAACTGAACATGCTTACAGGTGTGATAACAGGAAATTGTGTTGCTGATGTATGTTCCTTGATGGAACCTAGTAGTAGTATAGCTGCTAGTAGTGTGTGTCTGCAGTGTGTTTGCAGAATGTGTGTGGTTGTGCATCTTTTCTAGGGGGGAGTAGCACAGGATGTTCCACAGAAAGTTGTGACATTTGTAGTCTAGGCTAACAGGTGATTGTATTCTTCAGGATGTCATCCTGAATGTCCTGTCATCCATAATACAGAGCAGTCTGGATAAATTTGTGTGACTGCAAGTTGTGCAGGTTGTGTTTGCACTGAAGTGTTGTGCATCAGTTGAGGGGGAGTATCACAAGATGATCCACAGATTATTGTGATACCTGTAGTATGGACTAGCAGGTAGTTCTTTGGGTGTGAAGATGACTCTGATATGGTAATGTAGTTGTGTATGTTGTTAGCTAGTAGCTTTCCTGCATATATGGTATGATTTCTGCTGCTTGTGATCTCTGATATGGTAACAGAGTGTTTTAGCCAAAAATTTGCCAAAGGGGGAGTTTGTAGATGTTTTTGATTGGCTGCATTTTATGGCAAAACATTGATGGATGTATGAATGTCATGACTGATGTTATGACATACATAATGAGTATTCAGCAGGGTAAGTTTGAATAGCTAATAGTCAAGTATGTTGGATGTCATGCTGAATGTTATGACATCAAGCGTATGACATTAGGGCGCGCAGGTTTTAGTTTCTGGTATTAGCTCAGGCTATACTTTAGGAAACATTTTAGGAAGCCTAGTTATCTCAGGTAATATATCAGGCATTGCTGAGGATAACATGGAATGTCCCTGACCAAATTGGACGTGCGCAGTTTCATGAAGAGAGGTTTATCGTGGGTAAACCTAATTTTTTCACTAAGGCCCAAGGACTGTATGCTGCCTATATATATACAGAAGTAGCAATCCTATTTGAAGAGAGTTCTTGACAGGGTTTTAGAGATTGAGGAGTGTATTTTGTGAGTGAAGAAGTCTGACTGCATCAGTTGTTCTTCATGTGTGTATTGTGTCTTAGGAATACTTGTGAGCCAAACAATTGTCTGTTGTATGATTGCATTGGTTTAGTATTGTTGAGTTGTGTGTCACTCTAAGCTTTTAAGCAAGAGTGATGTGTATCTTGATTGAAGCTGTGAAGCAAAATCAAGATCTGTTTGAAGTGTGTCTTCAATTTCTCATTTGTAACTTTGAATTGGTTGATATCACTGCTGTGATTGAGGGGGAATGAGTTGGTAACTCTGGTCTAGTGTTAGGCTGAAGTGTCATTGGGTAGGTCTTAAGTGAAGAGTGCAAATTGGTTGTTTGACTCTGAATTAATTCTGCTAATAGTGAATTTCCTCCCTGGCTTGGTAGCCTCCAGATGTAGGTGTGCTTTGCACTGAACTGGGTAAACAATTACTTGTATTATTTCCTGTTTTCCTTTACAGTTTGTCATTAAGTTTTGTAGTATGTGTTATAGTGGATGTCATAACATCCGTGATAACATCCATTGTTGGGTACTTAGAATTTCAGAGACGTTGTTTATACGCCAAAAGAATATAAACGATATCCAATTTGGAAAATTGAGCAACAGAGTCTGAGATTGTGAAAGTGTCTCAGAGTCTACTGAGAAAATACTTTTCTATTGAAAGAGATTTTAATATGCTTCAAAGCAGATATATCATGAATTTAGAATACGACGGTGCACCAATGAAAGTGGACACTGCCACTAGTTTTAGCATTTTCTATAAAACTAAAATTCTAGTTAAATTTGATATGAAACTTATAAGTGTAATGCTCGTAGACAGAAATCAAAGTCTCAAACCCTTATTTTTAACTATTAAGATGATTGAAAGATCCAAAGACCCTTATTTTTAATTATTAAAGTAATTGGAAGATCCAAATTTTATCGTAAAACAAAATAATTAAGTTATTATTTTAGATATACGTTGAAATATATAACTCATTAGTTTGATCTCTGGTCTCTGTGAACGACACTTTTACTACTTTAATATTACCGTACGTTTGCGGCGTATCATCAATTGAAGAATATTTTATATGGACTAAATCAGTCCCACCAAGCATGGTTTAAAAGATTTACAAATGCAATGTTATAGTTGGACTATATAAGTAAAGCAAAAGAAATCACAATTTATTTTTTAAATATGCACCAAGAAAAAAACAAATATAAATGTTTTTGTTTATGCTGATGATGTTATTTCTATAAAAGATGATTAAATTTCGAGACATCTACTAAAAAAAATTATCAACAAAATTTGAAATGAAAGGCCTTGCATAACTCAAATTTATGCTCCACTTTTGAAAGAAAATGAAAGAAAACTTTAATGTAAGTCTAGAAGTGTTTCCATTACTATATTATTTTTATTTTTAGATATGTTTAATTAATTTTGGTTTAAATAGTGTTTTGGTCCATGTAAATTAGCGAGTTTTTGTGTTTAGTCCCTAAATATTTTTTCTTCAAGTTTGAGTCCTTATATCTCATGTTTGTGTTGATTTTCGTCCCTGACATTAGTAGTTTGTTAAAAAAATGTTGAGTTGGCTAACGGCGCTGACGCAGAATAACGTTTTATTTTTATTTTTTAAAATATTTTGCAGACGTGGCTAATGACTTATGTTAACACTTATATCAAAAATATGTTCAGAACACCCTTTTTGGTATTAGTCCCTGTAAATTAGGGTTTTCCATATTTGAGAGAAGAAGTGCGGCGACCGTTGGAGAGTGGAGGAGGTGAATGTGAGACGACAACCACAATACGATAACGACGCCGTTCTGGTTGACAATCTCATCTATGGTATTTAACATTTATCTTTCATTCTTGTTTTGTTCTTAGTATGCATTTAGCTATGTTCTGTTCGTTAGAAAGTGATGAGGTATAATACAATGGTTACTGATGTTGATACTAATGAGGTATATCAATATGTTGGTGGTGTTCAAGTTAATGAAGCTAATTATGTTCAAGGTAATGAAGCTAGTGATGTTGATGATGTTTAAGGTAATGATGTTGATGGTGTTGGTGGTGTTCAAGCAAATGAAGTAGATGATGTTCATGTAGATGAAAATGAGGATAGTGACTTTGAATTTGTTGGTTTATCATTTGATGATAGTGAAGATGAGAGGGCACTTGGGTTGGATGAATGTTTTGATGTTAATGAAAAACAAGACACTCCAAAGAAAATGGTCAAAGTTGTAGCAAGGAAGCACAAAGGTACTCCAAAGAAAATTGTCAAAGTTGTAGCAAGGAAGCACATAGATACTCCAAAGAAAATTGCAGCAAGGGCTTCACAACATCTTGCAGGCCTTTCCTTGTGATTGATGGATGTCATCTCAAGACTAAGTATGGAAGGACTCTTCTAATTGCATTTGGTAGAGATCCCATAGCTTATGTTATGTTTATGTAATTCTAAGGCAAAACTAGGTATGTTTATATTTATGTAATTGCAGTTAGTGGATGTCTTTTTTCTTACTCATTGTGTATTTTGCAACCTTATGCCTTTTTCCTTTTTAAAATTATGACACAACTAGGTATGCCTTTTAGCATTATATTATGTTTTTGCCTTTATGTACTAAAGAATTATGCAAACTACAAATACAACCCGCTAACATAAGTAAGAAACAAGAATTAAATATGGACCATAACACTACTTGAGAGGCTAGAACATAGACTTTGTCTTAGGCAATTAGAATCATGAAGAAGACATTGTGGTTCTGGCATTTGTGTATTTTGGCCCTATGGAATTATGTTATGCTTATGAAATCTTAAGACAAATTATGCTTTTGAGATAAGTTATGTTCTATTTGTGTAATTCTTAGACAAGTTATGCTTCTGAGACAATTTATTGTGTATTTTGCAACCTTATGCCTTTTGACTTTATGAAATTATGACTTAACTAGGTATGAATTTTAGGCAAACTACAAATACAACTCACTAACATAAGTATGAGAAACAGGGACATTAAGATTAAGGGATGACATACAAACGAACAATATGAAACATGGATGAAATACAAAATGCCAAAACATTTTAGAGATAAAATTCTTAACTAATTAACCAATACATAGATGAAACTCAACAAATAGCCATCTTATAGGGACTAAACCATAAAAAAAATTACAGACGCCATGAACATGAAATTCACTATCATTTTTGGCAAGTAAGGAACAAGACCCATGACAAAATCAACAACATCCTAAATAAAAATTAACCTTCTTTCTTTCGTTTTTCAACTTCAATTTCATCTTGTCTTTTCCTAACTTCAACGTCTTTAATAATGCAACCTACATATGACGTTGCCATGTTACAAAGAAGAAAAACGCAACAGCTATTACAAAGAAGAGAGGAAAAAATGCAGAAAAAAGTTTAAAGATGAAGAAGATGATGCAAATGGTAATTTTTTTTAGATGTAGTCCTCTTTTAAATGACCTCTAAAGCATTGAATCTATGTCTACAAAATATTAAAGAAAAGAAAAATAAAATGTCATTCCACGTCAGCGCCGCTAGTCAAATCAATGTTATTTTAACAAACTACTAATGTCAGAGATAAAAATCAACGCAAACATGAGATATAAGGACTCATATCTGGAAAAAAAAATTTAGAGACTAAACACAAAAATTCGCTAATTTATAGAGACTACAGCGCTATTTAAGCCATTAAATTTTTTAAGACAAATAATAAATAAATATATATCTTTTAATTAAACTAATCCAAATAAATTAACGTTATAGGGGTTAGCTAAAAAAAATCGAATTTATATATAGTGACAATCAAAATCTAAATAAGTAAATAAACAAAAATTTCGTCCTTTTTCCATTTTGTTTGCGTTTTGTTTCACTTCCTCGCCGAGCTTTCAACAACTACACACTGCTTCTGTGAACTCAACAGAGAGAGCGATGGAAAGTAGCGAGGAAGAAGATGACTTCCCTTCCATTGAGAGTATCATTCCCCAATCCAAGGTCGACTCTCTCTACCAGTCTCAAACTGAAAAGGTTCGCTTTTTCCTCTTTCACTTCACCATTAATAACAATGTCTTTTATCATTATTCTCTTGAATTTTTTTAATTTTGTTAATGCCTTGTAACCAACATTTCTAGATGATAGAAATTAAATTGGGGGTTAATCTTCATTCTCGTTATCTTTCTGTTTGGGAACTCGGATTTGGTATTTTGATGGTCAAGTTCAATAAAAAAAACTTCTCTTTTTGATAGGGTTTTCTATTTTGAACAAGTTGATTTTATTCTTCAATACATTGCTATTTGTAGCTCTATAACCATGTAGTCTAGCAGAATTTGAACAAACCACTATTTTCTGCAATTCCTGAATGACAACATTGTGGTGTATAAGCGATTTTTATAACAAAAGATGAATTAAAGTCAAATTGTGTTCATAAATTATCATGGAGAGGTTAAGTAATAAATTGAAAATAATTTATAGACATGTCATAAGATATTTCCATAAACTCTTTCAAACTGTCTCACAAGTCTTATGCCATTAGATAATCGCAAACAAGTATATCCAAATAGACTTGTAGTAAAATCACTGTGTTTTGGTCATTTTTTATATGTTGTAGCTGGTGTTATCAATTACTGTCCATGGTGGATTGCGGTGGCGGGTTTTTTGACAACCGCTGCATTGACCAATTTGGGAAGGGCAGCAGCACCATGGTGTTTTATGGCGGATGCGGGGGATTTTTGGCTTTCTGCCATGGTCCGTTATCGATAACAATGGTTGTAGCTCTGGTGTGCTTGCGTGTTCCAAGAGTTCTGTTTAAGAGCTATTAGATTGGGTAGCATGCTCAATATCATAAGCATAGTATAGCGGCTATGCTTAACTAATCATCACCAGAACGGTGCATGTATCATTAGATGATATTAGTGTTAAAACTTGTCATTTGTTTCAGGGAATTAGAAAGCTTTGCTGTGAACTCTTAGATTTGAAGGATGCCGTGGAGAACTTATGTGGCAATATGCACTCAAAGTACTTGGCTTTCTTGAGGTAACATATATCAACTAACTTACAATGTTCTTGGTCCTTTCCATTCTCCTGTTTTTCCTTATTAAGCAGCTAGCGTGCATTCCCCATTTCAATTATTTCATAGTTATCTAGTAAGCATTAAGGAATGCTAAAACCTCTACATATCTGTTTACGTTTGTCTATATTGTATTGATATGATTACAAGCACACACAGTAGGTACTTACTGAGTATGGATATGAGACCATTTTTACTTTTATTAATGAAAATGGTGCATTCTATTGGTCTCTGAATTGGTACGTATCTGCACTGGTTACCCGTCATATGAGTGATCTGGGATCACCATTTAACCATAATTGTTTAACCAGCTTTAAAGCTTGTCTCTGAAAAGGGATGAAGTAGTCAACATTTTTATGATCATTTTAATATAGTGGTACAAATGGGAGTAAGATATTTGTGGATAAGTTGTTAGGGAAGTTGTTCCTTGAATTTTTCACTTCAATTTTACCCCTATAGGGCCTATACTAAACAGACACCAGTGCTGTTAAATTGGCATGGTGTTTTTTTTGGCAACCACCGTAGCCAATTTGTGAAAGGGTGTGTGCCATGGCGGCTCCATAAGCTGCAATGGCGTGTTCATATGGATTTTTTGTCCTTCTGCCATATTCCACAGTCAGCCTTTGACAACACTAGAGACACTTAAAAAATTCATTTTATTTGGCTGATCTGATGCCTGTTAGAATATAAGAAAAAAGTTACAATAACAACCAAGTAATATAGAAACTAACCTTAAGCGATAATCTAAGATTAGAAACTAATCCTTTAAGATATACTAAGAATAAGATACTCTAACATATGAGTCGTAATCATATAGTATAAGATATTTTCTTTGTCTATTTTCATTTTTCTTCACTGTATCTTTATGAAGTTTTGGTGACATTTTTCATAATCCTATTTAATGAACATCTTATCCTCTGTCACAACGACAACCATTTCTATTGCAAGCATAGCATGTTAAAGGTTTCTACACCATAAATACTACACATGAAGATGAGGATCAAGCTGGTAGTATTATCATTTGATTAGTTCTGTTAAGAACTCTTAGAATTTGGGCCATACCTATCAAGAGTCCTAGATTGGGCGATAGATGGTCTGAACATATGTTTATAAATAGGGATGATTCTCACCTTACAATTTGGTTTTGTAAGGCTATTAGTCCACCTTACAGGCTATCCATTTAGCCACCTGCCATCAAGTTTTTGCTAACGGGCCACTTGGGCCGCGCTTGAGATGTCCAATCCTAGGTGTGAGAGGTGTGTGTTAAGAGTCCCACATTGGAGGAGGGACGGCCTGAACATACATTTATAAGTGAGGGAAATTCTCACCTTTTTAGCTGAATTTGTAAGATTAAGTTAGGCCCAATCCAATTTCTGAGTGCCTAATTCAACCTTACAAAACTCTCTTCTGAGATGACGTGTGTCTAAACTTTATATGCAATCCTTTGGCCATATTCTGTAATGAAGGCAACTCAGATGCCGCAATTAGGCGGCTAGGGGTGGACCGTAACTAAAGCTAAATTTCTAACAATAATCATCTAATTAGCTTAACCTCATAATATATTGCCCAGTAGGTTAGTTATACTTTAGTATATCAACATATTCATATGGATAAAGACAAGCAATTTCTGGGGTTGAAGTGTGTGCGAAGCACAAGGCCGCCACTTGGTCAGAAAACCAAGCTTCCCCAAAGTTCGAGCTGTTAGCAAAAGGCATATGAATGGTTTCTATTTCAATATTTGTTGAATATTAGCACAAAATCAAAACAGATTCTGTCATACAGCTCATTATGGCTGGATTCAAATTGTGATTAAATAGAAATTAATTGTATTATTATATTCTTACCTTATTTAGGATTAGCATTTATAGGGAGAATAATTACCCCTATTTCTTAGTGTAATTTATATTCTATAAATACTCATGTACTATGTTACAGAATAAATATAATATAGAAAAAGCATATTTCTATATGGTATCAGTAGCAACAAGAATCCTTTAGGGTTTTTTTTTTTGTTTTTGCTTCCGCTCTGTTTATCTTTTTTACATCCCACAATGTCTGATACCGAGTCCTCACTTTCACCCAAACATTCCTCACCCGAACCTAAATTAGTCCGAACGTACCATGAAAACCACCCTGTTCAGATCACAACAATTCGGCTGAACGGTGCTAATTATCTTCGATGGTCGCAATCCGTTCGTATGTATCTCAGGGGGAGAGGAAAGATTGGCTACATTACTGGCGACAAAAAACAACCAGACAAGGCAGGTGCAGATTATGATACATGGGATGCTGAAAACTCCATGGTCATGACATGGTTAGTCAACTCCATGGATGAAGAGATAGGTGCAAATTATCTCTGTTATGATACTGCAAAAGAACTTTGGGAAGGTGTCTCCCAAATGTACTCTGATTTGGAAAATCAATCCCAAATCTACGAATTAACTCTCAAATTGGGAGAAATTCGGCAAGGTGAAGATTCAGTCACCAAATACTTCAATTGTCTCAAACGTATTTGGCAAGATTTGGACCTTTTCAATGAGTATGAGTGGAAATCACCTGCCGATAGCAAACATTACAAGAAGATGGTGGATGTTAGTCGTGTTTTCAAGTTCCTTGCGGGTCTAAATGTTGATTTTGATGAGGTTCGTGGCCGAATTCTAGGCAGAAATCCTATCCCTCCAATTGGTGAAGTCTTTTCAGAAGTACGTCGCGAAGAGAGTCGTCGGCAAGTGATGCTTGGCAAAAATACAGCAGCTGTCCCTCCACCAGTTGAAGGATCTGCCTTGGCAATTCCCCATGTCAATCGTAAACCACTTCATAATCAACGAGGTGGAGACAAGACTCATTTATTTTGCGATTACTGTGGGCGCATTCGCCACACTCAGGAAACTTGCTACAAACTACATGGGCGACCAAATCATGGCAAGGCTGGTAAGTTTGGTGATCGTCCTATGCCTATGGCCAATGAGGCTGATTCGTCTCCATGTACGAAGGAGCAAATGGATAACCTTCTTAAGTTTCTAAAGTCCAATTCATCTCTTAATATCCCTACTGGAACTGTGGCACAAACAGGTAAGGATTCTTGGGCACTATCTGCTCACAACCACTCTAACCCTTGGATAATAGATTCAGGGGCATCTGAACACATGACTAATTGCTCTCATCTATTCAGTACCTATTTTCCTAGTTCAGGTTTTGAAAAAGTTAGGATAGCTGATGGTAGTTATTCAAGTATTGCAGGCAAAGGCAGCATAAAAATTTCAGAGCAAATCACTTTGCAATCTGTTTTACATGTTCCTAAATTCGCTTGTAATCTTCTATCTGTTCATAAATTGTCTAAGGACACTAATTGTTCTATTCTTTTTCGTCCCTCTACTTGTGTTTTTCAGGACCAGAACTCGGGGAAGACGATTGGAACTGCTAGAGAGATGAATGGATTGTACTACCTTGATGGAATTCAGTTTGGCAATAAAGCGTTTTTCGGTTCAAACAGTACAAACGCATCTCCTGTTTCAGATCAAATTATGTTATGGCATAAAAGATTAGGTCACCCTAGTTTTTCATATCTTAAGCATTTGTTTCCTATTTTTTCCAAAGAAATAAATTCCTCACAATTTCACTGTGAAGCTTGTCACTTAGCTAAAGATCATCGTGTGTCTTTTAAATCAAAAGCCTATTCTGCTTCTAAACCTTTTTATTTAATTCACAGTGATGTTTGGGGTCCTTCAAAAATTAAAACTATGTCTGGAAAAAAATGGTTTGTAACATTTATTGATGATCATACACGGCTGTGTTGGGTTTATCTCATGGAGAAAAAATCAGAAGTTGAACAAAGATTTCAAGATTTTTTTAACATGATTAACAATCAATTTCAAACTAAGATTGGCATTCTAAGGTCTGACAATGGCACTGAATATTTCAACAAATATTTAAGTACATTCCTTGTAACTAAGGGGATAATTCATCAATCCACTTGTCGCGATACTCCGCAGCAAAATGGTATTGCTGAAAGAAAAAATAGACATCTCCTCGAAGTCACTAGAGCTATTATGTTTTCTATGAATGTACCTAAGTATCTTTGGGGAAATGCTTTATTAACTGCTTGTCACCTCATCAATCGAATGCCATCTCGGGTGTTACAATATGAAAGTCCTGTACAAGTGTTACAAAACAATTTTCCTACATCTCGTATTATTACGGATCTTCCCCTTAAAATTTTTGGTTGTCTTTGTTATGTTTACATCCCCAATGTTTTTCGTTCTAAGTTGGATCCTAAAGCCGAAAAATGTGTTTTTCTTGGCTATGCTTCCAATAAAAAGGGATACAAATGTTTTAACCCAGTTACAAAGAAATTTTTTGAAAGCATGGATGTTCACTTTGTTGAAAATCAACCTTTTTTTAAAAATTCTCTTCAGGGGGAGAGTCAATGTAATAATAAAGAAGATAATTTTTGGGAAACTTTGCCTGCTCTAGATGATATTGTGACTACAAATCACCCAAATGCTAAGATAATAGAATCTGAAACAGGGGGAGAAACACTGATTAAGGATGATAATCCTGAACTTAAAGTGTATGTTCGAAAAAAATTCCACAAAGGTGGTGCAAACCCTATTGTCTCTCCAGTAGAAATCCAATCTGATTTACCAAGTGAAGGTCCTACAGATAATCTGTCTTCTAGTTCTTCATCTGGTAATCCTTCTTACTCATCCAATGATTTATCTGATTTGTCTTTTCCTGATATTAATCTTCCAATTTCTGTGAGAAAAAATATTCCTGACCTCGATGTCCCAATTGCTGAGAGGAAAGGTTCTCGTATGTGCACTAAACATCCTATGTCTAATTACTTGTCATATGACAAACTATCACACACCCATAAGGCATATGTGTCTAGGATTTCTAATTTGTTTGTGCCCATAACTATTCAGGAAGCATTAAGTGATCCGAATTGGAAATTAGCAGTGAAAGAAGAGATGGATGCTCTAAACAAAAATAACACTTGGAGTATCACTGATCTACCACAAGATAAAAAGGCAGTAGGGTGTAAGTGGGTCTTTACAGTGAAATGCAAGGCTGATGGAAGTGTGGAAAGATACAAAGCGAGATTAGTAGCAAAAGGATTTACTCAAACTCATGGTATTGATTACCAAGAGACTTTTGCCCCAGTTGCTAAGATCAATTCTATCAGAATTCTTCTTTCTCTTGCAGTAAATTTCAACTGGACACTATATCAATATGATGTTAAAAATGCCTTCTTGAATGGTGAATTACATGAAGAAGTATATATGAGTTTACCTCCTGGATTTGAAAAAAATCTTGGAAGAAACAAAGTATGCAGATTGAGAAAATCCCTATATGGATTGAAACAATCGCCAAGGGCCTGGTTTGAGAGATTTGGAAGTGTTGTTAAGAGACACGGTTTCACCCAAAGTCAAGCAGATCACACTATGTTCTTTAAACACTCATCTGAAGGTAAGATTGCTATCTTAATAGTGTATGTTGATGACATTATTATTACAGGAGATGACGTCAAAGCAATTAGTGATCTGAAGAGAAGACTTGAGGCTGAGTTCGATATCAAGGATCTTGGAAAGTTAAAATACTTTCTTGGGATGGAGTTCGCAAGATCTAAAGAAGGTATTTTTCTCAACCAGCGCAAGTACATACTCGATTTACTTGCAGAAACAGGGATGACAGGGTCTAAAGCAGTAGAAACACCAATGGATCCCAATGTGAAACTAAAGTCAGTTGCTGAAGATGAAATAGTAGATAAAGAACGTTATCAACGATTGGCTGGAAGACTAATTTATTTGTCACATACAAGGCCAGATATAGCCTTTGCAGTGAGTGTAATAAGCCAATTTATGCATGCACCAGGTGCAGCCCACTTTGAAGCTATTTTCAGAATATTAAGATATTTGAAAGGTACTCCGGGAAAGGGGCTGATATTCAGAAATAGAGGACATATACAGGTTGAAGCCTATACAGATGCTGATTGGGCAGGTAATATAAATGATAGAAGGTCTACCTCAGGATATTGTACTTTTGTAGGTGGAAATCTAGTTACATGGAGGAGCAAAAAACAAAATGTTGTAGCCAGGAGCAGTGCAGAAGCTGAATTCCGATCTGTGGCCCATGGTTTTTGTGAAGTATTATGGATCAAAAAGTTCATGGAAGAATTGAAGTTCTTTGGCCCAACTCCAATTAAAGTTTACTGCGATAATAAGGCTGCTATTTCTATTGCCCATAATCCTGTCCTACATGACAGGACGAAGCATGTTGAAGTGGACAAGCATTTCATCAAAGAAAAAATTGACAGCGGTGAGATTTGTATGTCCTACATACCTACCAAAAGTCAAGTAGCAGATGTTCTCACAAAGAGTCTTCCAAAGAGACTGTTTGATAACATGGTGTGCAAGCTTGCTATGAACGATATATTCATGCCAGCTTGAGGGGGAGTGTTGAATATTAGCACAAAATCAAAACAGATTCTGTCATACAGCTCATTATGGCTGGATTCAAATTGTGATTAAATAGAAATTAATTGTATTATTATATTCTTACCTTATTTAGGATTAGCATTTATAGGGAGAATAATTACCCCTATTTCTTAGTGTAATTTATATTCTATAAATACTCATGTACTATGTTACAGAATAAATATAATATAGAAAAAGCATATTTCTATAATATTTTTGAAAAGTTTGAAACCTGAACTGTAAAGTTACCTATTTTTGTTATAATTTATATCAGTTTCCTCTATTTTGCATAATTTTGTTAGTTGTTTGTTCTTGATGTTGCAGGATATCTGAAGAAGCTGTGGAGGTGAAACATGAATTGATTGATCTGCAAAAGCATATATCAGCTCAAGGTATTCTTGTACAGGATTTAATGACTGGTGTCTGCCATGAATTGGATAAGTGGAATCAATCAAGTAAAGATGTTGATGAAATTCAGGATGAACCTGAACTCCTTGAGCCTTTGTTCAATGAGGGAAATGACCAGAAAACTCTATTCTTGGAAAAAATTGATGTGCTTCTGGCTGAGCATAAGTTTGAAGAAGCATTAGAGGCGTTAGATGCTGAAGAAAAAAATTTTGCCGAGTTGAAAGTCTCAGGGAATAACTCTTCAGATGAAGGTTCCTCATATAAGTCTGCTCTCATGGAAAGAAAGGCTGTGCTTGAAGACCAGCTAATTGGAATTGCTGAGCAACCTTCTGTTAGTTTTCCTGAGCTTAAGAAGGCATTAGATGGTTTGATAAAACTTGGAAAAGGTCCCGTTGCACATCAACTAATGCTGAAATTTTATGGGTCTCACCTCCAAAAAAAAATTGAGGCGTTGCTTCCCTCGAGCTCTCTCTGTCCTGAAACATTTCCTTTTACATTGTCTAAGATTGTCTTCTCTGTTATTTCGTTGACAATAAAGGAATCTGGTTTGATTTTTGGAGATAATCCTGTTTATACAAACAGAATTGTTCAGTGGGCAGAGTGGGAAATTGAATATTTTGTACGATTGGTGAAAGAGAATGCACCATCATCCGAGACAGTGTCTGCCTTACGATCTGCTAGCATCTGCATTCAGGCTAGTTTGAAGTACTGCTCAATTTTGGAGCCACAAGGATTAAAAATGTCTAAATTACTATTGGTGCTACTGCGTCCTTCTATTGAAGAAGTTTTAGAGTCAAATTTTAGACGTGCTAGAAGAGTAGTTCTTGACATGGCAGAATCAGCTGAATGCTTACCATTGTCACCACAGTTCGCCTCTTCACTTTCTGCAGTTGCAACTTCATCCAGTAACATGCTTGTTGAGAGTGGAGTGCGATTTATGCACGTAATTGAAGTAAGTTAAGCTCATCATATGATATGGATATCATCAAATAAACAATAATTAATGCACTGCCTGCACATTTTTTTGGTTGATGGAATTACGCAGCCTTTGCTTTGATTTTTCCCATCTTTTTTACTCTTTCTGTCGTTATAAACATTTATACTAGAGATATATTAAATAATTTGAGAGCACACCGTGCTGGTTAAGAAGAAAAATTTAAAGATTTTGTGGTATGTTATTAAAATTATTAAATAAATTTTCATGAATCATATTAGGTTTTGACCATAGTAAATGTTCTTTGATAGCCATGATCTTTAGGGTTTATCTTGTTCTGTTGAGATACTTGTGGAAGTAACTGTAATACTGTCAGTTGACTGTAGTAATTTTCTGTTATATATTAACTTTCACATACCTTTCTGCCTTTATGAATGTATACATATATTTTCCCTTCCTTTCTACATGTTTTCTTTTGGGGAAATCTTACAAAAGGTAGTCTTTGTACAAGTCTTTCTGGTTTAGGACCTAATCCCTCAACTGTTTGATGATGTTTATTGGTTTATAGTGGTTGATGAATAGCCATTTGTTGATTAAATTCACTACATTTTTCCATAAACCAGAAATAGATTTTTTAAGAATTGCCTTATGATTTTTCTGTTACAATGAGTGGTCAGGTGCCTGTAATTGGGGTATATTTTTTTTAAAAGAAGAAAAACCTGTTAAAATCCCTCTGCATATTTGATAGGAGAGTTCTTTTGTAGAAGGGATGAAAAAAACACCCAAGAGAAACCATGAAAAGTTAGGAGGCATGTTCCATTGTCTGACACCCGTACGACACATGTACACGTGTCCAGCAACTCAGATGAGTGTCACAATTTTTTTTCGTGCTGTGTTAGGGGTATTGCCTATAGTGGAGAAGATGGTGGAAAATAGACTTAGGTGGTTTGGGCATATAGAAAGAAGATCAGTAGATTCTGTAGTAAGAAGGGTAGACTAGATGGAGAGAAGACAAACAATTAGAGGAAGGAGAAGACCTAGAAAGACTATCAGAGAAGTTATTAAGAAAGATCTTGAGATTAATGATTTGGATAGAAGCATGGTTCTTGATAGAACATTTTGGCGAAAGTTGATCCATGTAGCGGACCCAACTTAGCGGGATAAGGCTTAGTTATTGTTGTTGTATTAGGTGTCTGTGCTTCATAGTATAACAACAAAAGTAAGGATATGAAGCACCTTGAAAGTGTGAGCGTTCTGCTCCAACCAAATACCCCTAATGTCTACAACACGTGCACATCAGCATGAAGTTTCGGCTTTTTCCTCCATTTAAATCACTAAGAATAGCTGCAACGTCTAAGGATCAATCTTACAGTATATCGAACCTGCAAACAACTTATTCCAAACAATTATGCCAGCAAACCAGGTAGTGGCTGAGATTTCAACTCAGAAACAGAAAAAAAAAAAAAAAAAGAATCAGGGGAATGAGAATTTTTTTAGTGAACTATAACCATTAATCTATAATTAGTATTATTCCTATAAATTGCCATTGTCCTAAGTCATAACAGAAGAATTGTCCATAGAAGGAGCTTCTGTTTTCCTAAGGGTTTAGTAGTAAGATTGGTGTGAATAGTGGGGTGTCCTGAAAGCAATAATTGGCCTTTCGTGGTCAAGATGATCAAACTCTGCATCTTTTCTTCTCTTGTTTTTTTGTTTGTGCATTTCAGTTTGTTTGTGAAAATAATTAGAGTCTTTCAATGAATTCAAATGAATGATTTTGCTTGGAATTTTGCTTTGTCTTGTTATAACAGAAAATGTTTATTTTTACAAACTATACAGGAGATACTGGAACAGTTAACACCAATGGCTATTGTGCACTTTGGAGGAAATGTACTAAACAGAATCATACAACTATTTGATAAATACATGGACTCTCTTATCAAATCACTACCGGGTCCCTCAGATGATGACAATCTTCCAGAGCTTAAAGAGGCCGTGCCTTTCAGAGCTGAGACAGACTCAGAACAACTTGCAATATTAGGACTAGCGTTTACCATATTGGATGAACTATTACCAAATGCTGTATTTTCGACATGGATACTACAAAATGAAAGCAAAGAACCAAATAGTGGACTCACGGAGAGTGTAGGTTTCAATTCAAATGCTAGTGTAGAATTAAAGGAGTGGAGGAAACATCTTCAGCATTCTTTTGACAAGCTTCGAGATCACTTCTGTCGGCAGTATGTTTTGAGTTTCATCTATTCAAGAGAGGGAAAAACCCGATTGAATGCAAATATTTACTTGAGCGATAACAGAGAGGATCTTTACTTGGACTCTGGCCCACTGCCTTCACTTCCATTTCAGGTCATCATTCTCATTCTCTGCTTTTGCTGCTGCCATTGTTTTTCTTTTCGAATGATTTGTTTCTTATTTCTTACTTTGGCGGTCCCCTTGTGTTTCTGTGTTCTGTTTTCATTTTCTTTGGTAATTTTAGCTGTTGGAATTGGTTGCTTGTGTTTACATTACAACCATTATTGAAAATTGAGTTTCTGAATGAATGATACTGTGGCTAATATAGGCTATTTTCATTCATTTTTCCATTTTAATGTGGTTTGTGTGCATGTGCATCGACTATGAATGGGTAGAATGTTGAATTTATAAAAGAGGAGACCCATATACCTAATGCCTTAACGTTTTGGGTGGAGATGTGTTGTCTCCCTCTCTTGTGGTCCTGGAACATTGAGCACCCGTTGTTGCTCCCGGCTTCCCCGGACTCCCCAACAGGTTGTATCAAGAGTCATGGTTTGGCTTGGTGGGGGAGGGGGAGCTGGATCCTGTGTTGAATTTTGTTATAGGATGTGGGGGACTCAATACTTGTGGGAAAGATTGTTGGGTGGAAGTGTGAGTGGTTAAAGTCTCACATTATCTATGAATAGGTGGAATGTTGGATTTATAAGAGAAGGAACCCATATACCTAATGCCTTATGGTTTTGGGTGGAGACGTGCCGTCTCTCTTGTGGTGGTCTTGGAGCATTGGTCTCGTTGGTGCTCCTGGCTTTCCCGGACTCCCCAACATATATATGTATGTAAACAATTGGGTATGTTTTTTTGCACTTCAAAAACTGTTTTGTTTTAGAACTGATAGGTGTATATTTGCAGGCATTATTTGCAAAGCTTCAGCAATTAGCTACTGTGGCTGGAGATGTATTGCTTGGGAAGGAGAAAATACAGAAAATTTTGCTTGCAAGATTAACAGAGACTGTTGTCATGTGGTTATCTGATGAGCAAGAATTTTGGGGTGTCTTGGAGGATAATTCAGCTCCTCTACTGCCTCTTGGTTTGCATCAGGTACTGTCTACTCTACATAGATAATGACTCCCAAGTTTATATTATTGTAAGTTACAGGTTGTTTGAATTCTTTTGTTTCCAAATTCAATAATCCAAATGCAACCCGAATTTTAAAATAGTTCTTTGACTGTTAAATTACATTCTGGAACATATACAAACCAGACATAAAAAAGTCTTTTGACTGATGCCTATAATTTGGGTTTAAATTTCTGGCAACACAACCTTGATGCTTACTGTTGTACAAGTCCCTGTTAAATTCATATTTTCAAACACATGATTCTTTTATGGGCTTGTCTTATAGATAAGTGCTATGGTTACTGTTAAGATTAAGAATCCCAAGTGGCCACATGCCCAATCGAGTAACGTTGGACGATAGGGACATTAGAGGGGTGTATTGGGAAAAATCTAAGTTCCATTTTGAAAAATGATAAGGCTTGAAAAGTGTATATAAAGAATGACATCCTCCACCTTTCAAGCCGGTTTTGTAAGGGTGGAGTTAGACCCAACTAGAATTCTAATATGGTATCAAACCCTATCAATTTGGGCCACATGGAAAAGTTTAAGTTTCACATTGAAAAATGAGTAGGATGGTGTATTGAAAAAAATTTAAGTCTCACATTGAAAAATGAGTAGGACTAAGAAGAGTTTATAGAGACCGGTATTCCTCATCTTACAAACTGGTTTTGTAAGAATTGAGATAGACTCAATATAAAAACCATAACTGACTTTTTTGTTGCAGCTGATACTTGACATGCACTTTACGGTTGAAATCGCACGGTTTGCGGGATATCCATCTCGACATGTTCATCAGATAGCATCAGCTATTATTGCTCGTGCCATCCGGACCTTCTCCGCTAGGGGCATAAACCCACAAAGGTATTATTGTTATTCATTTCAGTGGTCTTGGTTCTTGTTTTGCAATTCTTACTGTTGGTTGTATTTCTTCGCCGAATTCTGACTTCAACAAATTGCCATTACCATTTAGTGCACTTCCTGCGGATGAGTGGTTTGTCGAAACTGCGAAGTCGGCAATAAACAAACTCTTGCTTGGGGCATCAGGGTCGGAGACATCTGATATTGATGAAGATCACATCATTATTCATGACGAGGTTGTCTCAGATTCAGATACCGTTTCTTCTCTGTCTACGATGGACTCTACCGAATCTTTTGCTTCTGCTAGCATGGCAGAACTTGACAGCCCCTCTAACTTGTCTGATCCTGATAATTGAATTTTTCCTATAGCTTTAAAATTAGAGTAAGTTATGAAATTTGCTATATGTGATTGTTATCTAGTATAAAGTATATAATGTATTATAAGATATGTCTGTAAACCTTGCTAGGGTAGCATGATTCCTTGTATTTGAATTAGAAAATTGTGAGCTGGAAAATAATCACAGATTCATATTTATTTGTATATTTTCATTTGAACAGAAGGTAAGTTAATCTGAATCTCTCCCTGTTTTTGTATTATTGTTCAATTGATCAATGAATCTCTCTAGTAATAAATGCTATGAATACTTTGATCATTTATGTTTTAAAAGTTTTATTTTGGTCACACTTTTCAAACATTATATCATATTGACCCATTCTCTCAAATTCTCACTGGACACTGTTAGGAATTCAAAGTGATTAGAGATCAATAGAATAAAGTTGTGAAATAAAGCTTAATTTGATTATTGACGATTGAATTGAAATGTTTACAGACAAGGGAATTGTACCTAGGTACTTCCAGAGCCTGCTCCTATAGAGAAGCTTACAACTCCCTTCTCATGACTAAAATCTTACAACCAAAGGTAATTGCTCAACTATCTTAGGACCATCACCTTCTAAATTGTCTGGTACCCCTTCCTCATACTCCTTTCTTGAGTGACATGTAAAAAACATGGTGCACTTCATCTCTATATTCTCGTTGCATTGCTTCCACCCTTGTTTCACCTATCGCCTAACGAGTATTCAATGGTGGTTTTCTGCCATACACAGCTTCAAATGTGGTTTTATCCATGACTGAATGATATGTGGTGTTAAACCAATATTCTGTCCAATGGAGCCATCCCATCCATGACTTGGGTTTATTTGCCATGAAACAACGAAGATACATCTTAAGACAAAGAGCCACTACCTCCATTTGTCCATCCGACTCTGGGTGATAAGCCAAACTCATGTTTAAATAAGTAAGATCCCTATCACTAACAATGGAACCGGGTATACAACGCAAGTGTATGACCTCTTTAGTGAACACTTATGGTATACTCTTGGTTGTATAGGAATGTTTGAGAGGCACAAAGTGGCTATATTTTGACAAACGATCCATCACTACCAATATGTTGGTATGGCTTCGTGTCCCACTAATAAAGTCCATAGATAAGTCACACTGAATCTTGTATGGAACAGGCAGGGGAATCCCCTGTGATGTAGCAAGGTATTTCTATTGTTGGCATGTATCACACCTTCTTACAAACTCATGTACAGTATTCTTCATCCCAATCCAATATAAATTGACAACTATCCTTCTATATTTTCAGAGAATGAATGAAATTCCTGTAACATTTGAGGAATTAAAGGTGATTGGTTGTACAAAACCAACCTCCCTTCATTATGCAAGACTGTTTATTTTTTAACAAAGGCTAAATTACCAATTTAATCCGGTCAATTTATTTCATCCCTAATCGTGTACTCAAGTGAATGTCAAAAAGAAAAGGGGGTCGGCAAATTAAAAAGGAGGTGTAAATAGAAATCTGGCCCAAAGGTATCTCAGGAAAAAAGATTAGAAGTTGAAAGTCTCACTTCTAATTGATTACACTTCTAAGGGATTTCTTTTAAGTTCGTTTGGTCTATCCTTTGTATTGAACCACTCACAAACAAGCGGGAGTTTTAAGTCAAAGGATGCATAAATAAGGTTGGCGCATTGCGAAGAGTCCATAGGAAATTGATTTTTCCTAGTTATGATTTTGGAAAGAAATGGTCATAATTTTTAAGAGAATGTCAACAAATAAGGATGAATATTAAGAAGTAGGATAAAAAAGAAGTTTTCTAGAGCTTTCAATATGGTTTAAAATAAATAGCAAAGAATATTTTGAAGCTATTTTCAAAGATATATTAAGCATGTTTAGAGATCAATGTGACTTTTGAAAAATCAAGATTTAAGAGTATCAGGTTTTTTTTTTCCTTTTTTGTAATTCAAGACAAGATTTACTCTAGCTAGTTTTCTATTTATACGGTAGAATGAAGACAATATTAATCCACATTGTGGCATTGTTACGTCACATCATCTTAGAGGCTAACAATTATTTGACAATACAATCCGGATGAAGTTTTCTTACCCTAAACATAACTAAATTTCCAATTGAAATTAAAAGATATTCAATTTTAGGGTTAGATAAATGTTCCTCAGTTGAGACAGAATTAAACGAGCTAAATGATAATAGAACAAGATAAAATGATTCTTTCTCAAGTTTACTGGGGTCCCACAAGTGTCGTGAGGGACGATGAGGAGTTATAGTCCAATAATATGTGACAATTGAGTAGTTAAGGTCATGTTCCATGATTTTAAGCGTTACTCACCATAATTGATGAATAACACAAAAACACAAACTAAGCAATAAAATATGTGCACAATATCACGGCTAGTAATGCCGCAAAATTAATAAGACCTGAAGGATGAAAAAGGCACCACATATCCAAAGCATAGAGACCACTCACCCATGACACACAAAATTAACTGAATGAGATAACACTTTTGTGGAACATGATTCTATTGTCAAGATAGTTTTCTTAATCAATTAAGTTATTGCAAACTATTTTTTACCTCTTTACATTTATTATTGCACCCTATATGTTTCTAATGCACCACGTGAATTTCCACATATGTTCCCTAATTTTGGAGATACATCTCTGAACGCATCTATTTCTGAATAAACATTCACATATTCCAGAGATACATCTTCGAAACCATTTTAAACATTCAAAACAAGCATCTATAAACCATTTACGTTTGAATTTTTCCGAAGATGCATCTATGATAATTTTCTGGAGATACATCTCTGAAGTGTATCAAAACAGATTGTTTTTTTGCTTTAAGATGTGTATTTGTTTTCATATAAAGTATGAAGCACGAACTTAAATAAAAAAATATACGTACAAAATAATAAGAGACTAATACTGGATGTGTCAAAAATAATATAGCAATATAATAAGAAAATATCGTACAATCGAGATCCAAAATATAGTAACAATGTCAGAAATAAAGTACAAACTATAGTACTATAACAAAATAATAACAGACAACTATTGGGTGTGTCTGACAACCTCTCATCTATCTCATTTGCCTTCTCGACCATCCTTCCATCCTCCAGCGATGTCTCCGGTACAACAGTGCCCCTTGTGCCTCCGCTACCATGACATCCAGGACACACATGATATCAAACTCCTCAGGGAAGATAACCTCGTCAATGCTTGCCCACACAATCTCCAATATGCAATGACATTGATGCAAGACAGCATTAGTATGATCTAGCTAAGTCTGCTCCTCCTCAAATATCTCCTAATGAGCTGGTCTTGACGGATTTCCTAGAGCAGTCTGCACCATGTATGGATATGACACCCTGAAGAATCACCTGATGTACCCGTTGACGTAGCTCCAGTCGTTCGGTGTTATGGTAGCACGTGCCTCGTCTAGTACCAAATGACTCTAAAAATTAGCAACATCTTCATTATCTGTCTATGAGACAAGGCAGAAGGAGCAAAGACAATAGCGTGTCTGGGGATGGTCTAGGTGTAGTCAAACTGCCGCATGATGCGCTCGGGCAGACGAGGAGCTTTGATACATGATCAGCAGGCCAACCATCTAGAGTATAGAGTTATGTCGTCAAATGGTTGCGTTTGAAAGTGATCCATGTAACTGTTGAAGTGCATGTCCTCAACAATCAAACAATCAAGGTAGACTCTGAAAGGCTCGACCACCTGATTCCCTCTCAGCGGGATAAAAGCACAGGCATAGGGCATGTCCTCTGTGTACTCATCCACACTCGCCCAACCAGCGATGTGGGGGAAGTGCAAGGGATCACACACCTGAAATTTTCTAAAAATAATCAATGTTAGAAATAACCAATGTAAGCAATTTAAATTAATGTAAAAAAGTAAATAAATAATCTAACTAATGTTACCTCTCCTCCCCATATATGTCTAACAGTGTGGTCCGAATACATAGAAAGTTGAGACAGATCAGATGGATCTCCTTCAAATCCCTTCGGCTCGGCATCCTTGACAACTTCACCCTCTAGAGGTGGCATTAGATCAGCAGAATCATCAGTGGGAGGTGGCACTGGATCAGCAGAAGGTGACACTGGTGAATCCTGACGCCCGCGGGAGGATGGGAAAAGTGACGCGTCAGCTGGTGAATCCCGTCTCCTACGAGAAGAAAAATAATGTGGGTGGCCTGAGATGAAATATCCTGAGGTGAAGGACGAGCCTCAGAAGTAGATTGCGCCCCAAAGTCGACGCCTCTTCTTGACCAGAAGTACCTGCTGCCTTCGCTCCCGCCGAACGGATGCGTGCTAGGCAACCCAGCCATGTCTCAGTCTTTCAAATCTGTCATTCATAATGCTTGTAAGGTAAATTAAGATGTATCATTAGTGCAGTTAGACAACACAAACAAACAAAAAAATTAAAAAAATAGACTGTAGGATATTTCGGAGAAATATCTCCAGAAAGATCACAAAACAATAACGTTGAACAATTCCAGAGATACATCTCTAGAAACACCATGAAATTCTAGTAACAGACAGTCGATGTTATGTCGGATGTTATGACATCCGCTTCTGAACAGATTATTAAACTTAGCAGTAAACAAGTAATGAAAGCAATAAAGAGCACAGGAAATTGTTTACCCAGTTCGGTACAAATCACACATACTCTGGGGGCTATTAAGCCAGGGAGGAAATCCACTATAAGTAGTGTTAATTCAGAGCTAAACTACCAGTTTGCACTCTTCACTTAAGACCTACCCAATGCAATTTCAATCTAACTCTAGACCTGAGTTCCTACTCATTCCATCACAACAGTGATATCAATCAAATACAAAACAGATTCAAAAGGAAGACACACTTCAAACAAATCTTGATCTTGCTTAAAAGCTTCAATCAAGAGACATAGCACTCTTGCTTAAAAGCTTAGAGTGACACAACCAAAACACCACTCAAAAACCACACTAGTCCAATGCAATCATCAAGGT